CGACCCAGGTGGGGACGGCGGTAGCGATGGTGATCCCGGCGACTCCGAGAACCTCGAGGAGTTGAAGTATGATCCAGCCGACGACCGCTACCCCCGCGGGCTCGAAGGGAAGAAACTCCTCTGGGCGCCTTGAACGCTGGCCCGCTGCGCCATGGGCTTGAGAGTGGCCGTACGCGGAAGCAGACCCGGGAGATGCAAGGTGCCGGGGAAATGCCGGGGCCCGGAGAAACACCGGACCCGGAAGAGGTATTGCTGGCGACTATGCTGGAAACTGGCGGGACGGGGATTGTTGAGGACTACATCTGCAACTCGCTTGTGAAGGAGTAGTGGGACGAGGAGCAGACACGCCGTATGGAAGAGGTGTACAGGCGCGAGATGCAGGAGGTGTTGAGCCCGGAACAGCAGGCCGAGGTCGACGCCAGCGGGTCTTCGCAACCACTCCCAGACCCACAGCTAAGTATGACCTCGCCAATCGGGCAGAAGCCGAGTGATGTGGAAGCAGTACCGATGACGTACAAGGATGTGATGTGTTCCAAGTACAAGGTTTTCTGGGAGGCGGCCATGAAGAAAGAGATAGATGGCCACGACAAGACTGGAACCTTTACCAAGGTCAAGGTCAAGGCTGCCCGAGGGGCGGAAGACCAAAGGTTCAAGGTGAGTGTTCTCTTGGAAGACGAATGAGAAGGGCCTGATAGTCGACTTCAAGGCCCGTATGGTTGCGCGGGGTTTGTCTCAAATCCCCGGCATCGACTTCCACCACTCATCCTCAGCGTGCCCGTCTGCAGCGTCTATGAAGGCAGTGACTGCCGTAGCCACTGAAAAGGGCAAGAAACTCGCTCACTGGGATGTGAATCAAGCGTACATCCACGCTAAGCTAAAAGAAGAAATATACCTCAGATTCCCGGAAGGCTGTGGTAGCATGTCCGGCAAGGTGGTCAAGGTTGAGCGTGCCCTGTATGGCCCAAAGCAGAGTGGCCGTGAGTGGGGGTTTGAAGCTGCCGATGCCCTCGNATTGCCGTAGCCACTGAAAAGGGCAAGAAACTCGCTCACTGGGATGTGAATCAAGCGTACATCCACGCTAAGCTAAAAGAAGAAATATACCTCAGATTCCCGGAAGGCTGTGGTAGCATGTCCGGCAAGGTGGTCAAGGTTGAGCGTGCCCTGTATGGCCCAAAGCAGAGTGGCCGTGAGTGGGGGTTTGAAGCTGCCGATGCCCTCGTCGAGAATGGATACGAGCAGTGCAGGGTTGACCCGTGTGTCTTCCGGAAGGTGGTTGATAGAGAGGTCGTAGGTCTCATCGTGATCTACGTCGACGACATCTTCGTGGCGGCAGACGAGGGAGAGCGAGAGGTGCTGTTCGCTTCCCTCAACAAGAAGTTTCCGGTGAAAGATCTGGGGGAGTGTACCTGGTACGACGGGTGTGCTATCGCCATGGATGTAGAAAATGGCATTACCAAGCTGTCCCAGACAGCATACATTGAGAGTATGCTGAAGCGGTTTGATGTGACCACGACCACTTTCACCCCTGCTGCCACCGATGCCGACCTAGGGCCGAAGTGAGATGACGAGCCCGCGGCGGATAAGTCTGTGAGGAAGGCGATCGGATGCCTGATATGGACGAAGCTGACGAGACCAGACATCGCCCTGCCTCTGAACAAGCTCCAGAAGACCGCCCACTCACCCACCGGGAGGATATGGAACGCGCTTGTGCGGATCATGTCCTACCTGAACTTCACGAAGGACTTCGGCATCACCTACGTACGGGGGTCAGGACTAGACCTAAGCGTGTTGTCGATGCCAGCTACGCTGAAAACGAAGTAGACAGGCGTTCTACGACCGGGCTAGCTGTGACCGTAGGTGGTACCATAGTGTGTGCATCCACCAAGACGCAGCCAGTGACGGCTCAGTCGACCTCGGAAGCAGAGTATATGGCAGCCGGGGTGGGCGTGAAGGAGGCGCTGTTTGTGCGTGGCGTTCTGTCCCGCGGCTTCGATGGTCAGTGGTGGAGGCGGGGCGGGCGGTGACGTTGTAGTCGGCTTGTCCTTCGCGCGCATCAGGAGCGTCTCCGTCTTTTTCTCCGACACCGTTAGCCCGAACTCCCTGAACACCTCAACGATGATGGTCATCATTCTCGCCAGTCCTTCTGCAGACCTCGATACGACGCCGGCATCATCGGC